AGAACATTCAGATTCTGTCCCTCCTTTCAACCCTTTGTGTTCTACAGTTATCTCTTCTCTTTCTCTTCTCTTCTCTACATTTTCCTTCTATTTTTGAACCTGAAATCTATTAGAGTTCAAGGCTGATGGCAGTCTTGAATTTCTACTATTTTATCTATCTATACATGATTTTATGACTTACCTGTTATTTGTTATGAATATTAAAATGCCTGCTTTCTATTTTCAGGCCAGTATCTATCGGGAGGAAAAGAATATAATAGATTTGTACATTATACTTGTCAGATTTTCAAGGTAAGGAATGCATAATAAGGATGACCTTTCTTTCTCTTAAATGGAATATTCTGAATTATCAACTCATTTTTCATTTCCCAGCTTGGTATCTGAAACTATACCATTCCATCAAGATTACCAGCTCTTGCTTCCAAAAGAAAGAAACATTTACAGGAAGGTGAGTGAAATGTGATAATATTTACTATTAGCATTGTTTGTGTGTATTTGTTTTATTGTTTAATATCCTGAAATGCTATTACTTTGATAATCTATGTCACTCTAGAAACTCCTGGGTATTTTGGAGGAGTTGGAATCTCTGAAACCTGAGGTCAAGCGCCAACTGGATGAATTGAATAAAGTTCATACTGTAGCTCAACTTGATGACTCAGAATGTAACTCATGTAGCTTAACTGCTTCTGCAGAATGGTCCTCCACTAAGAAGCCAGTACCCTTGAATTTTAATACTAAACAGGTTAGGTTTGTTTTTCACCAAGTGACTGCGTTCCTTTATCATATGTGCTTATGTATAAAATAATAAGTTTCTTATTGTTCGACCAGAACTTATCATTGTTATTATTTTTTTCCTGAAAAAAGGAAAAGGGACACTTCCATTGATTGTACTGTATTGACAAACTTGCCGTTCATCTAAGTCCATTCAGTATTTGTTTTATTTAAATATCATTTTTGTCCTATTGTAGTCTGGATTCAATTTTTTTATGACCTTCTAATTTCAGAATTTCTTTAATTCCTTTTGATTTAGCTGCAAACAACTAGCAGAAATTCACCTCAGTCTTCACAGAAGCATAACAGTGAGCTCACTCAAATTGCACCATTGAAACCCTTGCAAATTGACAAGCAGTTTCAGAAGCTGTAAGTATATTTTTCAATCATATTTTAGAGATATATGCATTATTTTGTTATACCTAAGTATGCCCAAATTCTGGATGGAGTCTGGATTATTATGCTTATTGAAAATTTAGAATGTTAAGAAATTTCCGACTGTAGAAACATGAATTGGAGTAAGAGAACAATTATATAACATCATGCTTTTCCTTGAGATATTTTTCTGATGAAAAGTTCTTTCTCTTGATTGAGATGGCCTCCTGTCAGGATGCTGGATCAGTCCACTTCAATGAGAAAAAGAAAGTTTGCATTTGAATGGAAGGTAGTCAGGCTGTCTTCAGTGAAATAACAAGTAACAATTATTTGTGGAAATGAAGTTGTCCCCAGATCTGTCTGCTGTGGTCAATACTGAGTCTTGGTGGTTGTTGTTGCATGAAACTTTCATGAAAGCTAGGTTTAGCAACTTTTTGTAACTTTATACCTATAGGGGACAGTATAGAATTCAAGAACAGAATGCTCAAAATTTTCCCCGGTATAAATGGAATTTTATCTAGGTGTTAGTGTGTCACCTCCAACATCCATGAAACCAGGAGACAAAGAGGGAGCTAAATGAAAAATTGACCTTTCTCTCTGACCACCATGACTATCCAAAAAAATTCACCAGACCAATCTCAGCTTATAAAACAGTTACAAGGCCAGCTATGTTGTATGGAGCAGAATGTGGGGCAGTCAAGAAACAGCATATCCAAAAAATGAGTGGGGAAGAAATGCATATGCTAAGCTGGATGAGTGGAAAAACTAAAAAGGATAGGGTCAGAAATGGAGTTATTGGAAAAAACCTAGGAGTAGCTCCAATAGGTGTCAAAAATGAGAAAAAGTAGATTAAGATGGTTTACTCATGTGCATAGAAAACCATCAACAGCACCTGTAAGAAGAAATGATCTGTTGCAAGTTGAAGGGGCTAGAGGGGCTAGGATTAGACCAAAAAAAGACTTGGGTCAAAGTAGTAAGAAATGACTTAAGTGCCCGTAATTTAACAATGGATATGGCATTAAATAGAATGGAATGGAGAAACATGATTCATGTAGCTGACTCCATATATACAGGATTCATGTGCCCATAGCTTGCAAAAGAGGGAGATGAATGAAATGTTAACCTGACTATCTCTCTGTTTATCACAAACATCTGGATATTCATGGGACCAACCTAAGCTAATATTCAGAACTCCAAAGTGACCTTCTTTCTTTGTTCTTCTCCTGCTACTGGAGTCAACCTTCAGGCAAAGTGTGTTGTATTCTATGAAGTTGGGAATTTTCAACAAGTTTAAGTGTCATTGAGGGATAGAATCTATTAATCAATGATGGCAACTGGACATGGATGTTCCTGGTGAGGTGATGCAATCAGCAGCAGCCAGCAGCCATGATATATCTGAGAAAAAAAAGAAAATATCTGGGTTTTGTGGATGTATGCAATCCCCAGTTTATAGAGGACTTATCAAGAATTACATACTTGAGCTTTGTTTTATTTTGTTTTTTTTATTATTGCTCTTTTATTTGGTGGAGTTAAGTTGGGTATGAACAACTTGGAGAGTAAAATTCAATGTATCTGCTGCCAGTTGTGACAGATTCTCTATTTGTCTATCCCCTTCATTTTCCATTTAACTCTTTGTTCCAATTTACTTGGTTGTTATTCTTAATTCATCTTCAGCACAGCATTTTTTTTGAAAAGCTTATATGGTTTTGCTAATCTGAAAAAAAAGGTTGCTACTAGTTCTGATATGCTCACTCTATTATTTTAGAATATTCAATTGAATGTGTTAATACTCAATATTATATGTTTTTTTATTTTTTATTTTTTTTTATTTTGTTGAGTATTTATTGTAACATTGTTACTTTTTATGTGGCCAATAAATATGTAGATCTCTGAGCCTGCCTCTTCCAAAGGAGGAAACATTGTCCAGACATTCAATTTTAGGTCCAAATGGTCTCAGGGGTCAGTGGCTTGGACCTAGCAAAGGGATAAAGGTAAAATATTGTTGAAATTTCTCACTGTGCTAAGCTTCCGCTACCATTTATCACTTATTTATCTGTTAAATACTTATGTTGCACAGGTTCAATATCCAAGCAATGCTGACTTGACTCCAGCTGAAAATTCAGGGTCAGGTTTTAACTAAATTTACTGGTGCTTGTTGAATCCCTAGTTGTTAAGCTTCTATAACATTGTCTGCTTTCATGTTTAGTCTATATTTTCTCTCTGGCGTTCTAAAGGACTGCATCAATTCGCATTTGTCTGAATCTTTTTCCTGCAATGTGGCCATTTCTAACATTTTGTATCTTGTGCTATGGTAATAGCCTGAATCAGTCAGGACAATATGATATTGTGGTAGCAACAGATAGTGATTCAGGAGGCCCTAGATCTACAATGGAAGAAGTACTCTCTTTGGATGATGGTAGATGGTCACAGCTCCCTGAGGAGCCTTGTTCTTCATTGAATGATGACATGATGGAAGATCATTACCAGTTAAATAATATCAGGCAGCAACCCTCTCCTCCTCCTGTTCTTGCTCATGTGCAGCAGGATTTTCTTCCAATCCCTCCTTCAAAGGTTGCTGATCCAAGACCTGGGCCAGCAAAACCTTTACAGGATGAGATGTCCAACTCTAATTCTTACCAGCATTTACATATTGTAAGCATTCCTCCCTCTTACTGCTCTTCCTTTATTTAGATCATGCAAAAAATTTTCCCAGTTTCTGTAAATTACTGTTGAGGTCTTTTATTCTGCATGGAATTACATTCAGCCAGTAAAAATGATGGAGGACTTCTTGAGATTGGCACAGACAAATACAACAAAAAATCTAGAGACATGTGGAATTCTTGCGGGTTCTCTAGTAAGTTCTATTTTGTTTTGAAAGGATCTGAAATTTTATACATTTGGATTCTTATGCCTAATTTCAACTAATTGCAGAAAAACAGGGTTTTCCACATTACAACACTAATAATTCCAAAGCAAGAGTCAACTTCAGATTCGGTAAGAGCTTGTTCCATTTCTTTAGAAGTAAAACTAACCCATTCAGAGTTGGCTGTCTCCTGTTTCAGAACTAAGTTCAGTTTGGCTCTGTCTGAAAATTTATTTTGAATTTTCTATCCTCTCAAGTTTGCTGAATTCATGCAAAACCAGTTTTAAATTAATAAAACTGAAGGTGTTTAAATCAGACTGAATCCAAATTGAGAAAGAGGTTGGAGACATTATCTGCAAGCATTTCTGGTAGTGCTAAATGGATGCCTTAGTGAACCGAGGCCTTGCATATGTTAGTGCCTTCTGTCTTCTTGGAAAGTAACTTGGTGGCTTTACGATGCTGCTAAAAGGAAATGGCTTCCTCTGATACCAGGTTTTGGTGACCCATTCTTTCTTGCTTTACTGGCAGAAAAAAAACAATGTTGAAAAACAAGTTTTGACTGAGCAAATCCCTGGGTTGATTCAAAGTTGTATGCATAATCTGGCCAAGAGTGAAAGCTCATCCAGCATAAAAAACATGACTAAGACTAAATCATAACAATTTTTCTTTGAATTGTCAATTCATAAATAAGTCAGTAAAGTTCACCATGTTAGAGAAGGGCATAGAGGTCATTTAGTAAAACTTTGTCACTGGTTCAAATGTTTGTGAATTGTTGCTCCTTCTTTGTTCTCCGTTAATGTCACCATCAACCATCTATTGTTACCTGATGCAGTGTTTCCTCTGTCTCATCTTATGGGTGTTGTCAACTGGAAGTCTGGTAGAGTTAAGTCAAACTTAGGTGAGACAGAAAGGCTTTTTGTTGTTGTTTGACTGTTTCTCTTTACCTAATCAATGCAAATATCTCTTCAAATCCTTTTTCTGCGTTTGTGCTTTTCACTGTCCCACAAACTTTAAAGCAGATAGAGAAAACAAAAGACAATGGATGGTTGATGAGGGAAGGGAAGTCTATATTACCAGTGGATCAAAAGGTGAGCAAATGGTATGGTGGATATGTTGGCCAAGTTGGGAGTTAATGGACAACAATTGTTTTGGTCCAAAATGTAATAATTATAAAATAAAACAATGGAATGTAGAAATTTTAGTTCCTTGTTATTGATCAAAAAAAAAAAAAAATTTAGTTCCTTGTCGTGCTCACAGAAGTTGCAACTTACAAGCCGTGAGAGTTGACATTTAATTGCATCATAGCTAGTGTTTTAAAAGCGCAAGGGCCAATTTGTGCCTGAGGCGCAAGGTGAGGCGTTCACCTTTTTAAGAAAGGCGCAAAATTACAAAAAAATAAAAAAAGTCAGAAAATTCCAAAAAAATGCCAAAAATTTAAAAAATATTAAACATAATGTTAATAAAAATATAAACTTAAATTTTAAAATAAATGATTTAAAAAACCTATTATCTAAAATTAAAATACATAAACATAACATGTAAAGTGTATTCAAATGAAAATTTAAAAATAAAAGC